GAATTGCACATCGTTCTTCTTGGGGACTTGAGTTCGTGATCCCAAAGATTTTATCTGTGCAAATATCAACTGAATATCCTATCTACTTGAGCGTTGAGCTATCTCCTATTATCAAGTACTTAATGGAGTTAAGCTTCAATGGTTAGGATTATATTTTTGTGATGTCACTCAATCACATTTGCTTCAAGTAGTTTTTCAAAAACACTAAACATACTTCATTCCTGTATACTCGTATTCTATTTCTCCAAAAAACTATTATACCTCCCCCATGTACCTGTGAAAGCGGGATATCTGTTCACTGTTTCGGAATTGTGATTGAATGGCTCTGTCTTTGTTTGCTCGCACGTAGATCATCTTTGGATGACAATTAATGATTCCAAAGATTTTATCAGTGCGTATAGCAAATGAAATAACCTATCTGCTTAAGCCATCTCCTCTCATCAAGTCCATGGAGATAGCTTCAATGTTATAGGATTACATAATTACATTCAGTCAATGTTTTGTATGATGTAGTGAGATGTATGTTTGATTTCTAAACCTACTTGTTCCAAGAATATGATTTTTCTTTTTCTTCCATTCCACAAGGGGGGGGGGGGTGGTCTTTCCTTAGTGTGCGTCTCATGATGAACAATACTAGTTATTTACCTTGGCAGTGAAATATTATCTGAATCAATCCCCCTTCTTATTTAAGAATGGAGGAGTATCCGTTAATGAGCGACAACGAGTACACTTAACATGGCAATTTTTGCACTGCTTCACCTTTTGGGAATTAGAATCCGCATATGATAAAAGGAAAAAAGCCAATGAAGAATACAACAAAGCTGAGAAAAATCTCACATCCGTTGGTGTCTGAGGGGTCAAGAAGTACACAACTTACCCGTAAACAAACAAAGATGTCCTTTGAGTTAGATTCTTGTTAGATTAAATCCATCATTTACCTGTAGGCTAAAACATACTCCCTCCGTTCTTAATTAAATGACTATTATGACTTTCTAGATACATAAAGAACCAAATGATTGTAGACATAGTATAATGTTGTCCACATTCATTCAAAATCTAACGTATCTAAAAAGTCTTAATAGGCAGTTATTTAAGAATGGAAGTAGTCAATAATGACTATTTTTTGCCCATTGGCAAGAGACGCAAAAACTCACATATGAAGTATTATAAATGAAAAAAAAACTAAGAGTTTGCACTGTGATATTATGATACTCCCTCCGTCCGGAAATATTCTTCCCACTTTCCTTTTTGGTCTGTTCGGAAATATTCTTTCCATTTCCTTTTTTAGTATACTTTTTAAGGATAAATATCAATAATACCCTTCTATTTTATCACAAATCTACTTTTTTAGTACTTTTTTAATAATAAAAGGAGATTTAAAAGTTTATAGTATGTGCATTTTTGAAAATTTTGCGTTTTTTTTACTATTCCTTAATAAGCGTGCCAAGTCAACACGGGAAGAACATTTCCGGACGGAGGGAGTACTATATAGTGGCATCCCACTGTATTTTTTGGTACTATATATTGGCACTGTACTCCTATTTAGGGGATAAATAACATAGAGCTCCTATTTTGGTACTTCATGTTTTACTCCTAGTTTATAGTTCTTTTCCCAAAAAACTGAAGTATCTTTCTTGTATCTGTTTGTATGTATATGTTATACGAAGTATTATTATTATGGTGCAGGCACTAAAGCATCTGCCTAGAGAAAAGGTACAGCTAGCCACCAAGTTTGGCATATACCAATTTGAACCTACTCAGGTTGTGGTGAGAGGCACACCTGAATATGTTCGCTCCTGCTGCGAAGCCAGCCTACGGCGGCTTCAGGTGGACTACATTGATCTTTATTACATTCATCGTATCGACACGACAGTGCCCATCGAGGAAACTGTAAGTGGTTTTTCTATTTCTTTCACCGGGAAAAATCTCACTTTTAGTCCATTAATTGTTTGACATTATGTAATACGTAGTACTTAGCACAAGCACACAACACAAACACTCTTATTACTTACACTATGTTCGGTTCAAAGATTTTGAAAGGGAAAGAAAACATAGTGAGGGGGATGGTGATTTCTCATGTTTGGTTAGAGAAGAAAAGAAAAGAAAAGTGGAAGGAAAAGAAAAAATAATTTTTTTGCCCCATTTACCCCCAAACTCATCAAATTTGCATGGTTTCCCTCCTGAACTTCAAAAATTACACCAATGGTCCCTGAACTTTTAAAAGCGTGGCATCAATGGTCCCTCTGCGCCAGATTTGGGAGCGCGTTAATCACACGCTCATGAATATACCTGTTGGAGCTTGATGAGGATGCCATGGATCACACGCTCATCACAACCCATAATTTTTCCTTATTTTTTTCCGTCCTGGAACAGATGGATGAAATGAAGAAATTAGTTGAGGAAGGAAAAGTGAAGTACATTGGGTTATCTGAAGCTCACCCAGACACAATAAGGAGGGCGCATGCAGTTCATCCCATCACTGCTGTGCAAATGGAGTATTCCCTGTGGACACGAGACATCGAGGACGAGATTGTGCCTCTCTGCAGGTTGGTTTTTGTCCTGATTTTCAACCGTCTCTTCTTCTTCTTCTTCTTCTTCTTCTTCAAGTCTCATAGGTTTTAAGCTTGTCTTTTCCCATATTTTTAATTTACAGGGAACTTGGAATTGGGGTTGTGCCATATGGGCCTATTGGCCGCGGGCTTTTTGGTGGAAAGGCAGTCACTGAGAGTTTGCATGCTAACAGCTCTTTGGTATGAAAAAAATCAACTTATAACTCTTCTTATTTTTATATGCGTGTCGTTTGGTTCTTTCCTAGACTCTGTTTTTTGTGAGATTTTACTGGGCTTGTGGGTTCTATTCTTTGGTTCTACCAGGGGAAACATCCGAGGTTTACTGGAGAGAACTTTGAGAAAAACAAGAGCATATACTTCCGTTTAGAAGAACTGTCCAAGAAACATGGATGCTCACCAGCTCAGCTTGCTCTTGCCTGGATTCTTCATCAGGGAGATGAATTTGTACCCATTCCTGGTAACTCATTCTTTTCACGCCCGATTTTTTTTAAACAACTTTTTTTGCGTCGGCCATTGCTAGGGTAACCCCACATTTTGACACCATGCTTGACACCAACACACCATGCTTTGTACAGACAATAACTGTCTATGCAACATATATAGTTTTCCGCGTGTTTGTGTAAAGCATGGTGTCAAGCACGGGGTAAAAATGTGGGGTTACCCTGACTTTATTCAACTCTCAGTAATAATTCTCATATATTTCGGTGGATTAAACTCCATTTATATTTTGTAACCAAACAAGGTTAGGGTCCGTTTGGTATACATAATTGATAGAATTGGAATTGAAATTCCATGGGATTCAATTCCATAGAATTAAATTCTCCAATTTCAATTCATTTTTTGCACTATCAATTCCAAATCTACATAATTTTTGTTCTACCAAACACCAAAATTGGAATTGAAGTCCTCAATTCCAATTCCATAATTTGAATTTCATATACCAAATGGGGCCTTATAGATTTTGGGTACATGATGAAGCTACATGTGGTTGCATGTATGCAGGAACTACTAAGATAAAAAACCTTCACGACAACATTGGATCTGTGAAGACAAAGTTGTCGGAAGAAGACGCGAAAGCGGTTTCTGATGCGGTGCCCATAAGTGAAGTGGCGGGTCCGAGGGTCGGCGAGGCTCTGTACAAGTGTTCCTACAAATATGCACTCACTCCACCATTGAAGCAGTGATGGTATATAACTTGATAAGTGTGTGCCATTGAACAAAGTGTTTGCCCCCAACTTATTGTTTACCCACTTCCCAAAGGCCAAGGGCAATTTGGACACTTCAAATCATGTTTGTTTGTTATACAGACTTTAATGTAATGTCATTTTTTTGGTATTATTCATGATTGAAGTATGTTCGGTTTGACTGAAAGAATATACTCTGTATTTGAATTGAGGGAGTTTATTTATGAAAAAAATGTGAAATGATGTTACCATGTTGGAAATGAAAAAAATGGAAATGAGTTCTTTTAATTAGTTTGTCACCCATTCATATCAATAATGTTTATACCTTGCTGGGCTGGCCCAGCCAAGGGTGAGCCAAGGTGCCCTACCAGACTCACTGTTTTGGGGCTCAACATTTTTTATTTTTAAACATATTATATATTTTTAATTAGAAAATTTAAAAATTAATTTTTTAAAGTAGCTATAACGATACTTAATTATAATATTACCGAGTATAATTTTGTTATGTGTATTACTATAATATCAATTTTGGTTTCAAAGATAAAAATTGATATAAAATACTCTGTAATTTGTTAGGACCAAAATCTATTTTTTTCGTCTCGTCCAGGGTCATCGTATTCTCGGGATCGGTCCTTTACTTTGTTTCTTGTACTCTTTTTGTTTCTTCTTATTTTAGTTTTCATGGTTTTCAATGTGTTATTTTGATAACTTATAATTTTATTCATGAGAAAACTAGATTTAAAACCAAAAATGGGAGATGCGGTTTTTGTTCTTTTTTTTGGGAGAAGAGAGGTGGTTCCACTTTTGACTCTCAATTCCATTCTATTTTCTTTTGTTTAAGTGTACTTATGATAGACACTTGGGCTGAACCATATGAAAAGTTTTAATTCAGTCGATTATCTAGTTTAACTTAAGAGCTTATATATCCATTATTTTTTTCACACCTTTTTGATGTGGGATAATTTTTAACTATTTAAATTTAATAGAAAATTAAATGTAGAAGAAAATTATATATCATGTTTAATATTATTTTCTATGGAATTTTTTACGGAGTATTTTATTTTCTACCAAATACTACCTATATTACATAGTATTTGTCTAGTTTTGACTTTTAGCCAACTGTTTTCAACCTTTGACCTATAATTAAATAAAATATATATTGTATATTAGTTAGATAAAAAAATATTTTGAAAATATTTTATATAATAAATCTTATAAAATTATTTTGAAATCATTTTTTTCTAATCTGAGTCAAAAGGGCATGTGGTTCCGGTTTAACAAACATGGAACTCCCGTTTTCTGAAACAGTCTGTTGTTCCGGTTTAACGAACAAGAAACCCCGGTTCATGATTCCGAACTGTACACCGTACCACCCGATTCCGACGTCGGAGACGCCACGCGCTAAAGCTTTCATGAAATGGAGTCCGTCCGTCATAAGATTGCAAAAGTGCCAAGTTCATTCAGGCAAGGCAAGAATCCGATTCCAGGCGAAGAAGGAAGAAGAAGAAAAGGCAGAAATGGTGGCCAGGAAGTTCTGTGTCCGCCACAATGAATCCACCTTCGACGTCGACTACGACACGGACGACGGCTTCGAAGTCCTTTCTATTGCCTTCTCTGCTCAAATCCTCCCTCCGATTCATCTTCCACAGACCCTTCNTTCTCGTCCTATTTCCAGGTCCTCAAGTTTCAGATCTTCTCCCTTACCTCCGTTCCGCCCGATCAACAAAAGGTACCCTCCCCCCCCCCTCCTCCTCTCACTCACTCACATCTGTGTATGGTGAACTGATAGAGCTCGAAATTCGTATGTATTTTGATGTGTTGCTCTTAAACACAGATATTGGAAGCAGATGATGGTCAAGTTGTACAGGAAGAAGCTGATTTGGCTTCCATTTCAGAAAATCTTCAATTGGTGACAATTGATGACGGAGAAGAGGAAATGGAGAAGAAAGAGGAGACTGAGCCTGATTTTGGGATGTCAGACGAACAATTAGCTCGGATCTTGCAGGTTTAAATTTCTTTTTGTGCAAGTATCAGTATAGCTTGACCAAATGGCTTCGCGTGTACTCTATCTTTTGTCTTTCAGCTTCTGATACTAATCGTAGAAAAGCATTTCTAGGAGGAAGAAGATGCACTTATGAGGCAGCAGGCTGTTGCTAGTGAAAGTAGTGCAGAATTTGAGCAAAAGATACGTCCTTATATTGATCAAGTTCTATTGGTAAAGCCTGCACCTTTTCCATTTTTAATCATCTTGGTTTAATTGGACAACGAGTTTAAGAGTGAATAAATATTATTCTTGATTTTATAATTTTGCCCCAAATTTCTAGTTGAATTGGTAATATGTGTGTTATGTATGAGCACTATTGAGCAGCATTGACATTTCATAGAAACAAGCTTCCAAAAAAGAAAACAAAAAGGTTATTTTGCTATGGACTAAAAATGAAAGTGAGAAGATTTAAGGGGACACAAGGAGCATTTTATTGTTCATCATTGTTTTCATGGATGGTAAATTCGGTTGTTGGGATTCAATTGGGTTGTTGTTGTTTGCTTTCATGGATGGTAAAATTGAAAAAGTCATCATATATCATTTGTTTTCTTGGAGTATTACATACTCCGTATTTTTTTTAAATAATGCTTTGTATATGAATTGGGATGAGAGTATTATTTATTCTGCCAGATTTTCAGCGCAGAGATGTCAGAAGTATAGTTTCATGTCTAAGTTGTTTTGCATAATGGTCTCAAACAAGTAATATTTCAACATCTAAATGGGGTTGTGCTTCCCATGAAAAGTGGTCAAATAGAACCTTAATTCATTTTTTCATTTCACCTTATTTGATTCACTTTCCATGGAAAGTAAGAGTTTTAAGCTAACTTTGACGACATTCTGCTAAAGCTCAAAATGTGTTTGTTACAATAAAAATTGAATGGTGGAGAGAATTATATTTCCTTGGAATGTTACTGCATTCCATTATAACAAACACTCTACAGATTAGAAAGACATGATCCTTAAATTTCCATCTGAAGAACTGACATGATTTATTCTTTTTAACATGATATTCTTTCAGTACGAGGACCCACGGAAGCAGGAGGCTGCTCGGAAGACCGTGCCTATTGACAATCTTGAGGAGAAAGCATTAATTTCATTGGCCAGGGTTAGATTATTAATCTGAATTTTTATGTCTAATTTGTGTACATGAAGCTAGGCAAAAAGGGCACATTTGATAATGACTGTGCCAGATTGGTAAGGCATTTAGATGTATGGTGTTAGCTGGATGTTAAAATGAACTTAGTTTGGAATTAAGGAAACAGAGTTCCGGTTTTAACAGTCACAATTTTGCTCATTTATGATAAACATTGTCAAAGTAACAAAAATGAGCAGCTATGTAAGATCCAGTGTGTTTATATACATTTCTCGGAGAACTAAACAACAACCCAGTTAAATCCCACAAGAGTAGGGTCTGGGGAGGGTGTGTGTACGCAGACCTTGCCCCTACTTGAAAGTAGAGAGGCTGTTTCCAAAGAGACCCCCGGCTCAACGTCGAAAGTCGCATTGCTTGACTAACTGCTACTTCATTAATTAAAGAAGCGCAGACAGTTTAGAGATCCATTTTGATTTATTCCATCACACCCCAAAGCCAAAAAATGGTGAAATTTTGGCTCCATCGGAGATGATGGAAATATTTCTCGGAGAACTATATATACAAAATGTCAAAGAAGTGCATTATATAGAGAAAGAAATAAACAATTTATATTTATTAAACCAAACATAAATCCAACAAGTACTAGTCTTGCTGAATAAGACATTCTGCAAGTAACCTTTGGCTGAGGTCATTTCCTCACCACCTTTCTCCCCGTCCACCTTAGGCTTGAATTCTACAATGCATCAAATGTCTCCTTGGGCTCTCAGTGGTAGTCCTTCATAGGTTAAAGTGGATAGAAATGGAACGAATGGCAGATTAAGTTGAGGATCTCTTCTTTAGAGAAAGCAATAAAGTGACATTATTTAGACTTTAGAGAAAGCAATAAAGGAGTTGTAGAGTAATTCTTTGGTTACATTTCTTTCTAGAGTAGACTTTCAAATTTTTACTATAGAATTATTATCATTGTCTTATTGCATGGTAATTCAAAGGTACTCTAGGTCTCATATATTATTTTCCATCGTCAGTAACTTGGACTCCTAGGTGGAGTGTGTTTGTTGTCTGAATTATTTCATAGATTTCATAAATCTAAGCTTTTTCGTTCCTTTCTATTATGTTGGTGTATGCTGAGCTTAAAGTGCAGTTCATTATATGAGGTATAATGGATGATTTCACCATCGGCCTGTTATGTACAAACGAAACTTGTTGGCGGTTATAATATCTTTATGGTATCTGTTCTAGGAGGGAAACTTTGAACCAACAAAAAATGAACAAGAGCATGCCTTCCTGCTGCAGCTTCTATTCTGGTTCAAACAATCATTCAAGTATGATTCTTCTCTGCATCATTGCTTTTATATGCAATAATTTGTCACATCAGTGAACTCAACTGAATGTCTGTGTCCTTACCGAATTGAGCTTTCTTCAGTCAGTTGTTTAACTTGAGACCCAATATCATTAGACTTATTGCTCAAATAACGTCTAAGCCTCTGGCCAAATGTTCTCTTTGGTCCTAAATCTTTTGCATCAAACAAATCAAGTCTAAACTATAGGAATGGGTTGCGAAAATGGTTGAAATGAATTAGAAATTTAAATATTATGCATACGATTGACTCTGGATGAAAGTATGTTTGATTTTATATGCTCTCTAGCCAAAATAAACTTCATGTTTTGATATCAAAAAATTTAAAAAAAAGTGTTGAAATGCAAATTGTGTGTGATTGACATTTGTTGAGGAGAGAGAAAACTTGTGAGCCACATCTTTCATTCCTTAAGAGGAAACAAGAAAAGTGTGAAGTCTATTTTGCGACGAACAGAAAAGGAATATGTGAAGTTCATTTTGGGATGAAGTATTATATTAAAAGTCCCAAAAGCTCCTAAACATTTAATGGACTCTAATGTTAGACCTTTTGACATCCAGAAAAGACTAATTATATGACTTTTTAGTTTAAATATAATATACTTCCTCCATCCTAAAATAATCGCAATGATCAAAGTTTTACCGTGTTTGCACACTTTCATTTGACTCTCTTTTGTGATCTAGCTCTGCTTTTTGTGTCTTTTGTGAGCTTGTGCTTTGTTACTTGAGTCGGGGGTCTCTTGGAAACAGACTCCCTACTTTCGAGTAAGGGTAAGGTTTGCTTACACACACCCTCCCTAGACTCTACTCTTGTGGGATTCAACCAGGTTGTTGTTGTTGTATTAAAACATAATCGAAGATATTAATGCTTTAAGTTGTGCATTGTCAAGTAGTAAAATTCTAATGTTGTGATTGTTTTGGAACAAAGGAAGTATAAGGTCAACCATATTTTCACCAAGAGTCAATTTTATGCATAATATAAAAAAGTTATGCATTGTTTTAGAACTTTTTTTCTGTTACTTATTTGTAAGGTTTAGACTTGATCTGTTTAAGTGTGTAGTAAACCCCACCTTTTGAAGATCCTTTCCAGGTGAATCAGGCCTGATTTAACAATAAGATTAACACTCATTTTTTATGATTTTATCTATCATTTCAGGTGGGTAAATGCACCTCCTTGTGATAGGTGTGGTAATGAAACTAGAAATGAGAGCATGGGAACACCCTATCCTTCAGAACTGCAATATGGTGCTTCAAGAGTTGAACTTTACCGGTCTGTTTCTCAAGATCCTGCTGATATGTACTTGGCCGAATGTAGTTAATGACTTCCACTGAATTTCTTTTATCACTGTGACTTTATTGTGTGTGTGCGCGCGCGCGTGTGTGTGTGTATATATATATATATGCAAATGACATTTATTGATTTCCCCATTTCCACTTTTCCACTTTTCGATATAAATTTTGTGCTTTTTGTCTAATGGGCAGTTTGCATAGCTTTAGGACATTAAGATTGTTAGAGTAAGGATAAGACATCTTAGATGTTACTTGACTTTAAGAATTTAAAAATAAATTGTCATGCGTTATACACACATTAAACAAACAAGAAACACGAGATGGAGATGTGCATAAATTCCCTGAACCATGGTCTCTAAACCATGTAAGTGATGTAACACTATATTGTGCTATACATTAATATGGAGTATTATTCAACAAACATAGAACTCTGGAATGGAATAGTACTTCATTATTCTGGCCATTTTCAATTTACTTGTAGAACTGTCATGTCAGCCCCCCCCACACGCGCCCAAAAAGGGGGGGGGGGAATAAAAATCATTATGCTTATTTTAATACATATAGAATTTATTTTTCATCTCCTCAGATGCCATTCATGCTCAAATGTTACCCGGTTTCCTCGATACAATGACCCGATGAAGGTACATCACTTCTATTCACCATCACCAAGAGGTTTTCATTTTTAAATTATTTTGACAGTTGTTAGTTCTTTTGTATGCAGCTCCTAGAAACAAGGAAGGGGCGCTGTGGGGAGTGGGCTAATTGCTTCACACTCTATTGCCGAGCTTTTGGTTATGAAGCACGCTTGGTAATACTTCCTTCTTCTTTTCTCCCGAGTAAGCATTCTTATATACTCCCTCCGTCCCACTGTGTTTGTCCACTTACCTTTTGGCACACCATCCAATGCACTTCTTTAATCCATTTTATCTTGTAATTTGTATATTAAAAAATTATAAAAATTATATATTAATAATCTATATGTTAAGACGAATCAAACAAGATCACACATGACTATTTTTAGGCTTACACATTAAGAGAATTTGATGAGTCAAAGTGCTTAGATGAACAGTTCCAAAAGTCAAATGTGGACAAAGACAATGGGGCGGAGGTAGTATTAATATAACAAAATTTTTCCTTTTTTAAACTCACAAAGCATGGTTTGATAATCTAAAGACTAATGCACTGTTTATATATATGAATAATGAGCCAAAATTTATTAGCTTAAATCCTATGGCGTATAGGCCTAGGATATAGTCTACATACAGTGTACTATGGCTTAACAATCTCAACAAGCTGGAGCGCATAACCTATACAAAAGTTGGACATGAAATTTGAACTTCAGTTTTCCCTTTCCAAACAGATTAATACACCAAACGTAACTACTAGAAAGTTGAACTCTAATTTGGACTTGAGTGCCAGAACAGAAAACTTGAATTTTGAATGCTACCTTCAGTTTTACCTAAACAGTGCGAAGGTTAAACTATACTTTGAACTTCTACTGAAAACATGACCAACATTTCACTCAATGTAACCTTGATTTATTCCCTGCTCCACTGAGTTCACACTTCACAGCCCAATCTGGATTTGACTTTGAGGCAATGACAGTAACAACAGAAGTAGTCGTAGAACTAGTACCCTTGAATTTAAGAAACTACTCGTGTTCAGACTTTTAAATCTTAGAGGCAATTTGCCATGTTGGGGTGTCCATGGAATTTCCAACAGTATTCTTGGGTATGCATTTTTTTAAGACAGAGATCCTGATCAAATGAGTTTGGTGTTCTATGCATGTTCCAAGTCTTCCAACACTTTTTGTGTTCATTGAGGTTTTTTTCACTAATAACACTGTCACATATATGGGACATAGGCACACACATTTATGATTTCTATTTGCCTCCCTATGAAATTGGGAACTAAGAGTTGACTTTTTAGTTGTGGTGATGTCTTTGGGAGTAGGTGAAATTGGAAAGAGAAACTTAAAGAATTCTGTATTTTTGGCTCTGACCCTTCACTGAGCATTTTGTTCTGCATGTCCTCATATTTTGTTTATGAGATTATTCTATCAATGTCTCACTCTTTGATGGATATCTATAACTGGTGGGGACATACTTTAAAGGGAGACACTCATTTCTTGCCTCATCTTCTCTTGTATTGGTTGTTAACTTATTCTCCAGATTATGGACTTTACGGATCATGTTTGGACAGAGTGCTTCTCACTATCCCTAGGAAGGTAAAAACCTTCATTGCTTATGTGTGACTATCATCCATGCATGTGTGACCTTGAAACTTACTATTGGGCCAAACTGTGCAGATGGATGCACCTTGATCCTTGTGAAGGAATTTATGACAATCCATTACTATATGAGAAGGGGTAAATTTTATTTATCCATGTTTTTGTCGCAGTCAATATGCTTCTATGTTTGACCTTGAGTGTCTCCCCATTTCGTTGAAAGGTGGAAAAAGAAATTAAACTATGTGATTGCTATTTCTAAAGATGGGGTACATGATGTCACCAAGCGTTACACAAGGAAATGGCCTGAGGTACATATATTGTAATTTTAGCAAGCCTGGCATTTTATATTCGTGCTCAAACACCTGAGTAAAGGTGGGAATATTCTCATTCAAGGTTCTTGCTCGGAGGAACATAGTTACAGAAGCTGTGCTCTCTGCTTCTATCTGTGACATAAATAGAGAAGTGCGGAAAGATTTACCCTTCCAGATGCTTTCTGCTCTGGAAGAACGAGACAAGAATGAAGCAGAAGCCATTAATAGAGATTTGTACTCCAAAGATGATCCTACAATTTCCTTACCTGGAAGATTAAGTGGGGATGAAGAATGGCGTATATCGAGATCTGAAACTGGTCCTGATAAAAAATCATCCTTAAGCTCTTCATCTTGTCCAGTTCGTAGATGTATAGATGCACATGTAACTAAGGTCTACAATGCATTTTTCCCTATTATCTCAAAGCTAGTGGAGGATTCTGCCTCTAAGAATGAAGCAATTGAACTATTTAGGGCTTTCAGAAATATTTTGGTTGATCTCAAGAAATCCCCTTTCAGAAACAGGAGAACTTCGTTGAATTCTGTTTCTGATAGTGCCCCACATTTTTTCAAGAAGATGCTGCCGTCTTTTGGTCAATTACTTGAAGCTTTATCGTTAAAAAGTGAGTTGGCCATAAACGGGAGGATTGACCTATGTTTGTGTGCTGATCCTGTGAGAACGTCAATTGCCCTTCCTGTAGTGTTCCATGCTTTGGATGATGTGATCAATAATGTTAGTCTTTGCAATAGACTTGATAAAGATTCACTTGCTTGGCCACTTTTGAAGTTAAACAGATTGTGTTCTGGTCTAGTGCGTGCTAGTGGGGAGGAGCTTCCTTTTGGAATTGTGAGTATTATATACTTTTATCCTATGGGAGCCTGAGAAGCTATTCTGTCCTTTTTATTAATTATTATTGGCATAAGATGTGGTGTTCTGAATTCCGTTGTTGGAAATACATCAGGCCACATCTGCATTTGATGGGACACGCATGTCAAAGTGGGAAGAACCGAATGGGGCAAGAGGTATGCTTTCTTTTTCATGCAAATTTCCTCTTTTCTCACTCTGACTATGCAATACTAATATCTCCATCTGATCACAAAATTCAACAGTAATATGTTTTTCAATAATTCTGAATGATGCTTGTTTTTTTCACCTATTACTAAATTGAAGAAGAAATGATGTCTGGGAAAGCTTGGTATACTTATTCTCGTTTGTGTGTTACTGAATCAGTTCGTGGAATACTCATTTGACTTCTCTGGAGTGTGTTGAGTGGGTGGCTGGGGGCTTTGTGTTTAGTTTTGGCTTACTTGGTGTCAAAGAACGGGTGATGTTTCGAAAGTCTTCGGTCTTCATTACACAATTTGTAGGTCCTTTTGTTTTGGTCTCAAAAGAGGCTACTATATTTTGGATCAGAGAAAGAAGATAGTTGTTACCTCACTGACTTGATATTGAACAACCTCTCACTATGCAGTTCATTTATGATGCAAAAAGAAAAGCATATGACAATATTAAAATTTTGAATAGTTAAGCTCGATAAATTTATCCAACATAAATGTCAAGACTTAGGATTCTGTACTCAAAGGTCAACATTATATGATGAAAAACACAATGCCTTATATTTGGGTTGTAATTTTATGTTTTCTTAATGCTGATCGCTTAACACGCTCCATAATTCCCATAAAGAGGGCAGCGCTTTGATGCAGATGAATCTTGAAATCTATATGCTCATTTTTTAGACTTACAAGAATCAAATTTCTAGATTGAGTATAATATGCTTGAATATCATATTAAGAGTTGAGTTCCATCATAAAAACCAGCCTTATAGAGAGTTTCATCCTAAAAAGTCAACCTTATAGAAGGCCCACGGCTAAAGGTTTTATAGTTGTCTCAGTTTGCAACTAGGACTTGGACAAGACATATGACGTACAAGTTCAGCTCAAACCTCCCTTGTTTGCCCCCTATAATTGTATATCATCCTCAGGGATATCTCTTGAGTCACACGGGTTCTTAAGTCTTCATCTAATTGACTTGATGGTTGGACTCGGGCACTATCTAAGGCTTTGTCATTTTGGGTTGGAAAACAAAGTTGGATGTTGGAAGAACCTAGGAGTTGGAAAATGTTAGAAGTTGATAGTTATAACCCAAGTGAACAGAGCCTAATTAGGTTTGGCCGTGAGCCGTGTGGGGTGACCCCTGCAATTTGTCCCCAAATGGGCATGAACAATCTTTCTTTGTTTTTCAGCTTACTATCTCTAACCTCACCCTCTGTCCAATAGGTTGTTGGATCTTATATCAAGTTAATGGCAAAGAAATGCATGAGCTTGTGGCCTATGAATTCATGTCTGCTAATGATGCTCCAGAAAGAGATCCAAAGGACTGGTAAAGTGTCATTAAACTCTCTGAGCTTCAATAGGTTGAGAAAAAATATGAACAGATATTACATTGTAACAGAGTTCATTTCAAATGAGTGAAACCCATTTCGTTTATCAGCTCATATGAGGATTCGTTGAACATAGTAGTGTTAAAAAAAAGATACACAAGTACATAATACTAGATTGGAGTGTTATCTTTTCTAGGAAGTTGACTACAATCAACTTGAGGACTTCTTGTCATCCATTATACCTCACAAAGTAGTAGCTTCTGACATTAAAAATCTGTTGTATCCCATTAATAATACTCCCTCTATTCCTTTTTATTTGATCCATTCACTACTATTCATAGGGTCAATGTTTATCATCTTTCTTTGCCTATTTTCTTAACTCATTTGCTAAAAATCATAAAATAAAATAGTCATGTCTCCTCTTGTTTTGTAGGACCTTTGATATTCTTTTTTAATGTACATGTTTTATTTTTTTTACTGTACGCTGATTTTAAAATAAATTGAATTCAAAAAAATTTCATTCAATCGTAAACCAAAATGCACCAAAATGTCAAGTTTATTTCTCGACTCCTCTGTTTGTTTGAATCCATATTATGATTTTGGTTTGTAGCTATAGTTTTGATTATTAAAAACAAAAGAATTGTTAGTCAATTAGAGATGGCATTTGAGAAACTCTGAATAAGTAGTGATATAATCTTTTATAATGTTGGGGTCCTCAACATGACCATTAAATAGGGCACATGAGCCACAAACCACACAAAAAGATTAAATGCAATCAATTAGTAACTCTAATTCAAGGTCTTGTAAACCCATATGCTTCTCCGTAATAATTACTCTCTCCTCTCTCCGGCCCTAAATGATTTACCTAATTTTCCTCTTTGCCTTTTTGGATAGGAATATACAGTCCAAAATACTTCCCTCTTCTAAACAAATTTTAACCACTCACTTTCTACATCTTTTCAACATCTTATCAACACTATTCCTAATTTCGTGAAATCGAAATGGGCAAATGATTCTAGGACGGAGGGGTATAGTGAACTTGAGTTAGGGTATTGTAAGTGAACTTGAGATTGATTGATGCATGTATGTTGGTTTCATCAGGGTTCTTGAAGGAAGTGCAGATGGAGGATGTAGTTGGCATGTTTTGGACAAACAGACTTCCCAGAGATTCGATAAACGTTTCGAGCGAAAGGCATTTACTGTCAAACCACAATGTTTCCTAGCGAATGCTTTCAGGTATAGTCGTAATGCAGGCAATCTCGTCACTTCACCTGTATATGCAGTACATCTCATTGGAAAAATAACTCAACTTTTTTGAATGCTCAATGCCTAAATATTGGCAGGATAAGATTTCTAGCAGTTCGAGATGGGAAGACAAATCCACGGTTTCAAATTGGCAGTATTGATCTCTATGCAAGATGCAATCAATGATTCAGGTTTGGGTCACACCATGTATGACGCCTCCCGTTTTTCATAAACAATGATTTCTTACGCACAATAAGTGTATGGTTGCCTCAGGTGGTGTCAACCTTAATGTCATCCCTGGGTTAAAGTAATATTTTCCTTCGAGTTTAAATTGACCGAGCACAAGGTGTTGGTGGCCTCACATCAAATCGCGTCCATGATGCATGGAGGAGATCATATGGGTCGCACACGAATCGTGGCCCACGATACGGAAACCCAGTGCCTACCTCAACCTCCCACTTGGCAGACCTAAACCTCAGTTGGCAATCCGACTCATTTCACCTGAACCCCATGTTAATAGCGTGGGCTCCGGTCGTCCGTGCCTAAATACAATATTAAGTATGAAATGAACAGAGAATATGTAGTCTTCTTACTCACTATACATATTTGGGTTGATCCCAACATACCTATGAATCTTTATTTAAAAAGGGGAGCATTTAGTTTGCTCTAGTGTTATATAATTGGTGTGCTTTAATAGTCTTTGACAATTCACACATCCATTGTGCAATCATTTTTTTCATCGCTCATTATCAGTGTTGTGGAAAGCGCTAGGACTCTAGAGGTGTGAAACTGAGGATTATTACTTCTGTTCCGTTTTCACTTTTTTGGCAATTTTTAACCATAAGTTGAATAAAATTAATATTAGATATTGATATAATTTTTTTATTAGATTTATCTCGTAAAATATTATCAAAATATTATTTTATGTAATTAATATACTCCGTACTATATACTCCCTCTGTCCCACTTTAAATGGCATGTTTTCCTTTAAGAGTACAATACCTAAACTACTCTTAAAATAAGTCACTCTTTTCCATCTTATATTCTCATTCATCGTCACTCCTCCTAAAAAGTAATGACAATTTTGGAAAGTCAACTCTATTTTTTCTCTTCTTTAAATATGCCTTAAAGTCAAAATGGGTGATTTAAAACGGGACGGAGGGAGTATATTTTTCAAATTGTAAGTTAAAGATTGATCTTGATTGATGGTAAAAAGTCAAAATTAGATGAATATTTTGGGAGGAGAGCTAGTATAAAAGATCGTTCATTAGTGTACGGAGTATGTAGTTCTTTTTGTTAACTTTATTGTTTTGTCCATGGGGTGGACTTAGCAACATTCTTAGTTTTTATTTAAATTTTTTGGGAGTCCAAAATTGATACTCCCTCCATCCGATTTTAAATTGTCTGTTTGTTTTTTTTTTTCCGTCCCAAAACAAGTTGTCTGTTAGTTGTTATCGTAAACTTTTAAAAATAAAATACCTAAACTACCCTTAAAATAAGTCATTCTTCTTCACCTAATCTTCTAATTCATCGTCACCCCTCCTAAAAAGTAATGACAATTTTGAAAAATCAACTCTATTTTTTGTCTTCCTTAAATATGTCCAAAAGTCAAAATGGATAATTTAAAACATGACAGAGAGAGTAGTTATTTAATAATAAAGTGAAACTGTGTGGCTGATATTTATTTTGGAGAGATTCCCATGATATTGGAGGTCTAAAAGAAAGTCTCAATTTTGACTCCAATTCTCCAAAGACAATTAATTTGGGGGTACAATTGAAGGGAGTGAGGGTGGGGGGAGGGGGATGTGTTCGGGTTGAGGTGGAGTGGGGGGCTTTATCGGGGGAGGAGGGGTTAGGAGGATAAGAACCGTCAATTTTTAAAAAAACGGGGCACCATAACGCCATCGAGTCATCTCATGACATGCAGTTTCAATGTCATGAAAATTCACACGTGAAACGAGACGGTTCATGGGGACCCATTTGCCTTATGACTAATAAATAAAATTTACTCATTTCTCTATGTTGACCAGATTATTTACAAAATCATTCTTCACCTTTTATAAACATTTAAGTCATGTTACTTCTATGAAAGAATATTTAACTTATAAACAACATATAAGTTAAGAACTGCTTATCAACAACAAACCAATAAGCACCAACACAAAGAAACGCCTTCTTTATGTCGCGTAAAAATCTTAACAAAAACACTTGCCAATTTGTGATACTCCCTCCTTTTCATAATACTAGCCCCTCTTGTGTTTGCGCGATTTTTTTTAAGTATAGCGAGAAGAAAAGCAAAATGAGAAACAAAAAAAGTTTAGATAGGAAGCGAAAAAAGAGATCAAAACAGAGTAATAGAAGTAACACAAAACAACAATGTCAGGGAAAAGGAGTTTTTTTTTCTCTAGAGTAAACTCTATTGAAATTCTAATGGCATCTGGTGAGACAACGACCATGACACAATGAAAACCCAATGTTTCTTAGGGCATACAATTTGGTAGAATTTCAAGCACAAAGTACAATGAAAACCCAATGTGAGATTAAAATATTATGATTCGAAATGATATTCAGAGTATGGATGATGTGAACATAATAGACCTGAACATGCTTTCAAGGCTCAATGCTCCTCAATCTTCTTCAACCCTTTCATATCTGTTGTCTCCACCCTGCACAAGAAATCATCACAAAATCAATACCCAAAAACAAAGCAACGCGCGCGCACACACACACGCACACACATTTTATATTTTTATGCATGTAGGGCATGAATTATGATACAGAATAGTTGAAACATGTTGGGTGATTTTCCCAAGAAAAAAAATGGCACTGCAAGATCTTCACAAAAGATGGCAGCCAACAACAAACCCAATATAATTTTGTTGGGATTTAGAGGGGGGGGACAAGATATACACAACCGTTAGACCCTTGATGCATTAACTACCCAAAACTTAATAGAATATAAGAAGCAATGTGAGGTTTGATTTAATATTTTAATTTTGCAAGGACCAAAGGGGGTGAGGATAGATTGAACTCCCATTTATCCAGAGCCATTTCGTTTTTTCCATCAATATTTTGCAACTCCTAGCTATGGAGTTTCGTTTTCTTCCTTTTCTGAATGGTGAAAACAGACTTATTTAACCAAAGCAAAGTTTCCTGGATTTCTTTTGCGGAAAAACTTTACTTATTTTTAGCATGTTTGTAATATTTGTGGGTGTGAATCAATCCACCATCTCAGCAAACACCACCAACAATTATGCCCCCAACCGGCATCGACAACCATAGTATCACGGACATACAGCTAGCCAGCACTTGTACACCACATTTCTGCAAAATGAACGCAGATCCATTGGTTCAGTAGGCTGCCATTTGGGGTCTTGCAGTTAAAACATTCATGCTTGAGCCATGGTGTGATTTGATGTCAGCTTTGCAATTTTCAGCAGCAGGGAAGGGTAGAAGCGTCCATCCAGGGTATTTCAAAAGATATTGGAATAAAGAACAAGAGCTTGCCAAAGGAGGGCTATGGTGCTGAGACTTAATCACGCTTTCTCACCCTTGGCAGAAAAGGTTATGTTTGACGTTGTCGAATAAAAACCAAATCAATGCTCCAAAACATAAATACAAAGTATTTAATCTTAACTACTAACCATAAAAGGATGTAGAGGTTTTAAAGGTAAAACTCCTTAGAGATAATTAAAAGACTAAACCAAATCCATTACTTGCAGTAGTAGGACGATCATTGTGCGATACTCCTTGGGAGGTAGCGTGCAGCATGCCTCTTCACTTTGAGCATTGCCAATGGTAATGGTATCCCACAAATGTCTCAATTGCATCACCCACTCGTTATCATAGACTTTTTCCTAAATCTCGATAACACGAATTGTGGTCCGGAATAAAGTAAATGATCCCACAAGCCCTCCTCAACCAGCTTCCCTTTCCAATGCACCAACAGCTCAAGCTGGCCCCAATTGAGTCTGCTGCATAACACTGCCAGAGGTTTGAGCTGGGTGGTCTAGTACTCAAATTGTAGGGACCACATGGTAGGGGGGGGCAAGACCCTTCATACGGCTTGGGTTATGACTAGTGAGACGTGAAAAACATCATGGATTTCAAAATTAGACAGCAAAAGTACCTTGTAGATGTTCTGACCAATACCCGAACCTTATGATGGTGGTGGACCAGAGAGAGCCGGGGGATGAACTCAAAGCCAGACCCACACACCCGAGTCTCTACTAGAAGTGCATGGTGGTCAATGAGCTTGTGCTTAACTCCTAAGCGGGCAGTCCCAAAAGTGTTTAAAATCAGTTTTGGAGGGTCGCATACATAGCCCCAGGTTGTATGGCAAGATGTGTTATAACCGTAACACATTCACTAGGGTACTATGTTGTACGACAACACTGAAACACCTCAACTGTGTGATTAACCGCCTACATTTGGTCATTTGTTTACGAATGAATGATAGGCAAATAATGAGAGTTGTTGCCACTCAAACAAAGCATTTTGCATCAAACGGAGCTCACAAAAATCTTGTCATGGTCTGGCACAACAACAACAACAACCCAGTATAATCCCAACTTCGTTGGAATCTGGGGGAGGGGAGGTCAAGATCTACCCAGCCTTACCCCTGTAAAATACTAAGAGTCTGTTTCCATTAGACCCTTGATACAGTGCTGCATTTACTACCCAAAACTTCATTGGAAGTAAGAAGCAAAGGAGGTTTAATGTTCCATTTTAATTTAGTCCATTATTTATCCGAAACTAAAACATTGTCTATTATGACTATTTTATCTCCATTGGCAATCCAAAGAAACTATTTAGGCAAAGAATGCAACCATATTGAAAATGCCAGTACATGGATGAACCAAAATTAAAGTGTGAAGCCTTAGACAGGGTATCAATCACAACAAAATAGCAGATTTCTCAGACACCCTTGACAACCCCTCAATAAATCCATGGCCCATTTTGAATATTCAGAAAAATGAGTAGACCAGGGCCCATTTTGAAGATATTTTTATAATTAAAACTAGAATAGTTATAGCTCATCAACTGTGTAGTTCAAGGGCTCACGCAATAACATCTATATGAACTCTATACTACAGATACAGTTGTGCACGAGATCCAAAGTCTGAGAATGATACCCAAAGATGTGAAACTTACGTTGAACCATACAGGACAATCTTTTGAACTTTTGTAATTTCATTTCCAGATTGATTATCCTCGATGAAAATCGTCAGGCTGGCCAAACATTATTAGCATGATTAAAGCGCTTTAGAAGCCATAACTATCTCAGATCATTGAAAGGGATATGAAGAAAGGAGTGGTAATTATTTACCTGCGAACATTTTGAAACTTGACAAACTTCAAGTTGACAGGTTTTCCCTACAGACGTCATAAACTATTAAAAGTAGACCGAAAGAATAAGAAAGATAGCAATGACGAAGATAGCATCATTTTAAAGAAAATCAAATTCCAAAAAGTGGGTGGGTTATTAATTTACCAAAGGCATAGGCCCAAACCATTGTATTAACAAATCGTATTTGATATATGATTGTTTTCCAACCCCTAGTTAACAAATCCTATTTGATATATGATTGTTGTCCAACCCCCAGTTAGTTCAGAATTACTTAGTCCTAATTTGTTTATGACTGTTTTCCTTGGTTGTATTTAGGGTAGTATTACTAGTCCGAGTCGGTTTGAGAATATCTTTGAGTTGCTTGAG